TTTTTTTATTGTTATTATCTGTGCATATCTTGTGGGAAAGTGATTCTCCTCACGAGCTTTCCTTCTTGTTGGCACCTCCCACTGTTACTGTATCTTGCATGAGTTTTTATGCACTTGAGACCTGGCGAACAGGGGCCTCATGGGTAAAACACTGAATCAATACTGTATAGTTAGTACCTGTAAATGCAAAGCCATTCTTCAAAAGTAGGATCCCATGTATGGACTCTTTTCGCAAGAGACAAATAGATAGAATACCTGATATATATGGGATACCTAATATAATGGAACTCTGTCCGACTTAAATCCATTTGATCATTTGTTCTGCATATTCTTTCATATAAAATCTCGTCTTTCCCCTCATGCCAACTATAAACAAGTACTAAGTGATATAATGTATTTTGTTAACATGATGGTTACCATATTTCCATTTCGTGCACTGACATGAATAGCCGCACGCCACTGCTCACTAAAATTGTATTAGGCAAAAGTATTATTGTAAGTACTATATGTTCATGATACAGGACTGGTCTACTTTCATTTTTACATTATCGGATCAAAAACATATATTCAATTTTGGTTAATAATTGGCCCAAAAATTTCATCCGTCTGCCCATCGTTCGGTAACGAACCCGTATATGTTTACTGAGAAGATACTATTTAGATATGTTTCAAAATTAAAAAATCACTACAAATGGCGCCCGACGAGAGGGGTACTATATAATCGCTGACCCTCGGGGCCACAGCACACTTTCTCATTTTGACCATCTCAAAACAGTGAAGTTGCAGTTTACCCGTGTATGTAACTGCGTTGCCATGTGTCGCAACAATACATACTTTCAAGATTCTTGTATACTCTAAAGAAACATCTTAATAGTTATTATTGTTGCAATTCTACAGTTTCTTGAAGAGCATTTATCTATAACTTACATACATTACATTCATTATATATATATATATAAATATATATATATATTTTATATATATAATTATGTATAGTATAGTCATATTATTATTTAATATTCTAGAATGAATGCATGTCAAGCACAAAACTTGTTTGTATATTTCCTTATAAATCATATTAGTTAAGAAAATGTCACAACACAACTTAACGTTGTTATTTTCAAAATATTATCAGACGATTATATTTGTGTATTTGTATAAAACGAGATTTGCCTTCTTTATTTACATTAAATACGTAATGAAAAGTGTCTGTTACACCGATGTGCTTTGAAATCCGTTTAAGAAGCTCATATTGGGCTGAATTTCAGGTTTCGAAACTGTAGTCTCACTTTTCAATGAATCTATTTAGTGTACAGCGGGCTCTTCACAGATTTTGTTAGTTCAAAAACAATTTTCCAACAACTACGAGAATAAATGGATGCACATTTAGAATAACAGACTATGTAAAATAAATAAATAAATAAATAAAAAATAAATTAATAATTAAAATTGTACAAATGGTCACTTGGGTGGTCATCATATATATACTGTTACGAAAATAACTTCTGCCATGACTATTTTCAATAGTGAACTGTAAATTCTACCCTGCTGTTTCCATCAAGCTACCCGAAATTATGATTTCTAATTACACCTTCTCTTCATACAGATTTCGCGATTTGCATAATGAAAATGACAAATATTTATGGATTTACTTATTAGATATTACCCAACTAAAATTTACACTGTTTAAGATCTTTTATTCATGGAACAAATTCTGTTATCTAGATCTATTAGACAGATTTTTTCCTATTACAATTTCAAAAAACAATTTTCATATTTATACAAGGCAGAGCTTTCAATTACCTAATAATGAAAAAATGAGGGTGCAATAAGCAATAGCTTCTAGATGGTTGAAACTGTTTATGAATATCTGGATATTAAATGATCATTTGTGAAACTTTTGAACATTAATAAAGGTGGAAAATATTTTGGGTAAATAAAGGTCGACTTCTCTATTTGGATGATTTATTAATCATAGAAAGGCTTGTGTGAATGACGATAATTGGGTTCTTTTGAGCACTGGCAATGAACAAGCTTTGTTACTCAATCCTTCTGTTCATAAAAGGTTCTTGAACACTGGGTGCTGCACGAGCTACAGATGACCAGGGATATCACCATCTCCTCAAAATTATATTGTTATTCCCTGATAGTCAGTAAAGCAATATTACATGTGAAAAATGAAGAGAACAGAACAGAAAGGACAAGCAGAAATATTAAGTAAAAAAACGAAAGCGTTTTCTATCGGCCAGCACTTGATTTAATCATCATCAGGATCCTGGGGGCCCATTCCTCTTGCCCTGGGACCACCCCGCCTTTTTCGCCATAATGATCTGATCAACACGGAGAATCTGGTTGGCAGCAGAGGTCGCGTACTTCAGTGCCCAGAACTTGGTGAGGTAGAGATCAAAGATTTCCTTTTCCTTAGCATCAACTACTAACGTGCCTTCTCCTTCACAGTCAAAACCTGCATTGGTTTTGCCTTCAGAGTGTGCTGCTAATAAGTTGGACAAAGTCTCTTGGTCATTTTGCACCACAGTTGTCTGCAAGGACCTATTGTAAAAAGAGAAAGATATGGGTATATTAAACACTCAAGTTAGCTGCCATATAGAAATCGTTTATCTCCCAGCCTGAGGCATTTTTTCTAACATTACAATGCACATCATAAACTAAGCAACTTACCTTGGGGAAAACTTTGAGAGCATCAGCAAATTTCTTGATAGCATACTGTTCAAGACCAGGACACTGAGATCCCATATTGTTCAATGAGCCGGCTAAGCTCTACTTCTGTGCTTCCAGCACCTGCAACACAGTTTCCATCCTGCAAAGAAACACAAGGGATACTGTGCATTAGTGACCGATTCTTAATGAAACTGACAAATGACACTATCAAATATGGTTTATCTATGTGTATAACCTCTTCCCCATTAGGTCTCTTAAAAATATAAATACTTCACTATGAAATGCTCTGACAGTACCAATAGGTTACATATAATTATGTAAAAACATATTTCAAGCTCCTCACAGTTAACAACTATAATTCAAGAAGGTTTTGAATTCTCTGAAAATCCATACCCTGCAAAGTCCCTTGAAGGTGTTGACTGCATCATCGACAGCTCTCTCCAATGTCCATCCATGTAGTTGTCAGTGGAGCCTCGAATAACAATTGTGGCAATTCTGGATTCTGCACTCTCTTGCCTGCAAGGGAGATAATAAATTAAATGAATTTTCCT